GTAATTATCAATGAATGTATTTATGTACCTATGAATGCATAATACGCGAAAACTTTTTCGTCACATCAGATCTGCACCGTTCGTTCGATTTGACAAAATGAGGTATCAAATTAAAGCTAAGCGTACACGGTAGAGAAATCTCTAGAATTTTACTGAAATAAAAATCTCCTCTCTCAATTAATAGCGTTTTCTTTTCTCAAAAAAAGTTCTTCCCTTTTATATGGGAACTCTTGCTTTGCGTTGCCCTGAAACCTGAGAAAATGTTGCGTTCTTTATATGAGAATGAAACAGAAAATATACTACTCCATCACGATTTATTTATAGAACTTAATAAAGCTGAATTATTCACTTGGCCTGTAAGTCTTTAACAATTTTACAGCAAAACACTTATTTCTGATAGGAAAAATAATTGCATTTTTACAAGATTAAATTAAAAATCAACCATGCAACTCTCACCCTCACGTTTATTTGAGGGCAGAAAAGGCAGTACTTTCGCCGGATCAGAGCGCAACCTGCTAAGAAAAGAACACGACGCCTTGTTAAAGGGCTGAGAAAAGAACATGAAAATGTGACAGCGCTAACACAAGGCAGTACAAGTGCAGCCTTTTTTCGAGAAAAGAAAACGCTATAAGTTTACACGGTATAGTAACTCTAGGAGATATTCACTCTAGCTAGAGATAAAATAGAGAAATGCCAACTTTTCTCTATCACGAACTCTACAAGCTGTGTACACGGTAGACAATAGTTACCTCTCGCCTAGATTTAGCTTTGTATGTAGACGTAGAAAATATAGTTGGCGCCATCAGCGGAGCGCTAACCCTTCGTCGATTTGACAGCATTCACATATTTTCGTACGTCATAAAATACATTTTCGCAATATGGACAAGAATTAAATTTTCAAATTGTACTTATTTACCGAAAAAAAGTTTACCTAAAAGTAGACAAATGTACCTAAAAATTAAACATGGCAACTTCCCTCTTCCGTACTATGTGTAAGTTAACAGCAGACCACACATAACGGTTTAAATACATATTGTAAACAATAAGGTTTAAATACAGAAAGCATATTCCAATACTCAGTTTTTAATTAAAATCATAAAGCAACAACCTCTGTAATTTAATATAACATTTTGAACTAAAATAACAAATGGAAAAAATGCTGACGGCAGCATCTTTGCATTCTTAATTAAATTCTTTGCGATCGAAGATCACCCCAAAAGACCACACAGCGACATTGTAGCCAATGTTAACATAACCGCATTCCAATAGCCCAGAACGCATAACGTGCAACAATGTGTTTTCCGTTCCTTCTGTAAACTTTTGATTAAGAGAACAATATCGCATTTCTCACGCATTGGCATTTCATCCACCCACTGGCTGATGCAACGCCAAAGCGTCATTGTGAAATTAGTTCTTAAGAAAACAAATGTTAGCTTATAAATAAGAGTCAATTGAAATAAAGACTTGCCTTCTGATAATTGTCCGCGAGATGCGGATCGAGAAAAGCATCGTTTTAAGTTTTTAAAAACGCTTTCCTCGGAAAGGAAAGCTTAAGTTGTACTTCTGGACTCACATCAAACAATCTTTAATATTTAAAATTCCCTTGAAAGTAGTGTCTCCGAGCAGTTTCAGCCAAACTACTATATATGGGCCGCTGTGGTGTAGTGGTAAGCAGTGCGCGCTTTCGCGCATCAGCACCTGGGTTCAAGCCCTGGTCAAAGCAACATCGCAAAAAATATAGGAAGAGGTTTTTTCTTAACAGGCTTCGTCCCTCGGCAGGCAATGGCAAACCTCCGAGTGTATTTCTGCCATGAAAAACAGCTCACAAAAATACAATCGCCGTTCGGAGTCGGCGTAAAACAGTAGGTCCCTTCGCTTTGTGTGACAACATCAAGGCGCACACCACAAATCGGAGGAGAAGCTCGGCCAAACACTAACATATGTGTAAGCGCCAATCTATTATTTTTATTATTATTATATTCACCAAGTTGAGCAAGTAGTCTGGCCCTCAGACAAAACAGCAGATAACTCAAGCAACGACTGTTGCCGGAGTGCCAGACCACCTGCTCAATTTGTGAATACCCCTTATGTTTTAACCAATAGTTATGCCCCTTTGCAACGGACGGAGGCTATTGGAGAAGCCATTGAAATGCCAATGAAAATAAGAGAATGATTCCCGGTACATTACTTGGTTACGTTCTAAATGTACTTAAAATGGTGTGCTTGTATCGAATATACGGTTTAATATCTTAGCCATTTCAAAATTTAACAATCTGTAATGAAATTCATTATCAAGGCTTTACTGTACTTCTCCGTGGAGCAAAAAATCTATTTGGCTTACTAAATAGAGCGTAGAGTTGTCGTAGAGTTTTCGATTTAGCTGCGTTGGACTGTGTACACGGCGAAAAAGTCTCGCTAAATAAATCTCACGTAGACTTTGTAGATGAGTCTCTCGTAGAGCTCTATTGATTGTTTACACGTCTCTAGCGAGATTTTTATCTAAATCTCGCGTTTTTTCTCTACCGTGTATACTTAGCTTAAAGGGCTTGGCTTGTAGATGTGCAATAACTTCTTATTTTTTCAAAAAGAGTTGCTACCTGACAAAAGAAAAAGAAATTCAAATTATTTTTAAGCTAAATGAATTATTACTTGATGAGAATCGATCGAAATGGTTTTGAAAAGGCTTTATTTCTTAAATAGATCGCCCTCACCCGCTTCGCTGAGTGTATGAAATTTCTACGTGCTTCATTGAGTAAAATTTATTTCAAGAAAACTCAATTAAAAAACAGGAGGTTTAAAATTTATTTAACCATCTTCAAAATATTTTCAAACTAAAACTAACAATTAACATATCCCCTGAACTGAATTTGAGATTTTAAACAGATGGAAACCTCTTACATGTAGTATTAAAATGAAGCCCTTGAAAACCCATTTCGATTGATACCCATATTATAATAAATAATTTAAAATATTGAATAGTTTGAATTTAACCATTTACAAAGATGGCAACTTATGTGATACATATTCAAAACCATTTAGATTCATACTAATCTTCTATACTAATATATATTTTGAAAGCCGGTTTTCATGTGTTTGCAAAGTTCGAAAACAGCCGAACCGATTTTTTTTTAAATTTCAGACACTTGCCCCAGATACCCCAAGAATGGTCTTAAGCTAAACAAGGTATAAAGGGAGCATGGCACCTCCCATACAAACCGATTTTTTCATATTTCATATCTCTGGAAGTGTTCATGGTAAAATACTGGAACTTGGTCCGGCGATATATGAAATCAATCTTATACTCATGAAGAAAAATGGGCTATTTGGAAAGACATATAATTCTTTTGTATGTTTGTTTTGAGGGAAATCCTCCTAAATTCCCGGAACGATTTTAACAAAGTTTTTTGTGTGCTTTTGAGTGGCTCTCAGGATAGTGTAGTTTCACAATTTCACTTGCCAGTTGGCGCTGGAGTTAAGTTATTACTAAAAATCTTATTTATGATCCACTTTGGCTAATCGCCAAGATAGAAAAAGTGCCGTGAATATCAGATTAAATCGATCTGCTGCACCACTGAGTATATCTAAATCTTGTGTGCTATGATGGGCCCAATAGAAGTGTTTTGCCAGTATTATTATGCGTTGAAGCTTCATTCGGAGACACCAGGGTTGAGTTGTGCAGGGGTAAATCTCAAATCACCACCGATAAATCAACCGCCAGGACCATTGCCCGCCTTTTACTGTAATACTTAATATAAAATTATTTAATTAAATTTTTAAAAGGGTGGCAACCCTTATGAAAGACTTAAAGATTATTTAAAACTTTCAAACTAAAGGTTTCTTAAGAATATTTCGTTAGGTAACCATATTTTAATTCCTCAGCAATGGGTTAAATAAATTACTTCAATGTGAATATACATAAAAATTGCTTTGAAGAAACTTTATTTCAAACTACATGTAGGATTGTTGCCATCTGATTTTATATCTAAATTCAAATTGAATTAAGAGGATTAGATAATTTAAATATGCATCACTATACAAGTGTCAGACGAAAAAGGTTTAACGAGGTTTTGGTTTAAAAATAATTTGAACAGGATTGCCATCTGTTTGAAAAGTTAGATTCAAATTATTTAATAAGTCGAATGAATTATTAAAGTATGGGTATAAATTTGCATTCGTTAAAAATGCTTTTTTCTTAATTTTATTTAAAAGGCTTACCATAAGTTTTAGAGATTAAATTCAACTTGAATTCAGGGAATTATATATACAATCTAAATATGTATCGCATTATGTGTGTCAGTCGAAAAAGGTTTAACAAGGGTTTGGTTTTAAAATATTTTGGATAGGGTTGCCACCTGTTTTATAATAAGAATTTAATTAAATGAAATATTAAAACATGACGTGAAGCGAAGGTGGTAAGGTATCCTTAGTTCAAATATTAACAATATTAAAGAAGGTTGCCACCTGTTTAAAAAGGTAAGCTCAAATTATTTAATAAGTGAAAGCAATTATTAAACATATGGGTACCAAATGAAATGGATTTAAAAAGGCTTTATTTCTGAACTGTATTTAGGAGCATTGTCACGTATTTCAAAATTAAAGTTTAAATTAATTCATCATGACATGAAATATGTAGGTATCACAATATCAGACGCAAGATGATGGTACATATGATTAAAGTTAATGTGGATCTGCTTCTCTATTGCTAAGTATTAATATTTTTTTCAATTCATATTGATTTATTAAATTCAATTCAATACAATCAAAATGAATATTTCGTGTGATTTTAATAATATTACGTATGCTACGTTTAAGTCTAGCGGCGCTGTCTCCGACACAGCCTGCAGGTCAAGACGAAGGCGCTGGACTGATCCTTTTTTTTGTAAACCTGAGTAATCAAGTATAAAGTATTAATTTTTACTATGCACTATTTCCCTCAGTGTAACACCATATATATTTATTTAAAAAATAAAGGTAGTTAAATTTTTTAATTAAATTTTCAGATGGCAACACCGACGATTCTGGAGTATATATCGATTATACACTTAGACCGTAAGTAAAGTTTTGGTCTTTAAACTTTTATTAAGAATTAAGATATTTTATTAAATAAATAAATGTATAAGTTCTACCAAATAATCAAATGGTCAATAGCCTCCACTCATTTGAAAAGGCATAGGGAAGTACTTTCATGTAGATGATTATTTTTAACGCGATCGCGACTTACTACTTGGGAAGAGCTCTGAAATACATAAGTAATACTGCTACAGTGTTCAAAATAATCGGTTATCATAGGTGGTTTTTGAGGCTTATTTAAAATTATAATTTCGCCGTTCACCAGAATAGGTTCAGTGTAAAAATCAAGGTTTCAGGAAGGAATTTGGCAAATTTCAAAATCGAGACGTAACAAATTACAAAAAATTACGGTAAGAAAATGTGCCGAAATGAACACTTATGAGCAGGGCGCGGACCTTATGGCACTAAAAACATGAAAAAAGGCAAAATAAAACTACAAAAAAGGTAAAAGTAGGCAAAAAGTCCGTTAAAATAAAGAATTGTTTTTTTAAATTCAATGAGCAAATAATTTATTGTAGTGTGGTAGCACTGAACTACCATGTACAGTTTCAAATTCTCGGGCAACAGGCTCATTCTGTTATCGCGAAGCAAAGACTTGAAAGTGCTGAGCAGGGCTAGAACTACGGCAAGCTTAAATCGGAATAAATTACATAAAAAATCGTAGCAGAAAATGATGTTTCGTAGTAGTTTTTTAGTTAAGTATGCAAAATGGCTGCCGATCCATATTTTATGTTCGCCGAAAAATGCGTTACGCTATCCTCCAATTGTTTCCCTGGAACTTTACCCTATAAACCTTAGACTCTACAATCTCTCTTTAGCCAAAGTAAGGAACCAAATGGATTTTTAATGACGAGAGTTATCATCTAATATTTCAAGCAAGTGTTGGATATTTTAGCGAAAGAGTGGATAAAACTATCTTTAAAATGCCGTTTCAACTATTATTATCGTGGAGAAATTACGAAAGTTATGCCACTTCCCAGAAAGAATACTTTTAACAGGTCTATTCTGCGCTGGTAACATAAATTTTATAACCGGTAATTAAAGTGTCTTGTCAATTTTTAAACCTTATTTCGAATTCTGTGCCCTCTTGTAACCGTAAATTTGGTTACCATCTCATAAGCTGGTAACAAAATATTGCCCCGTGAAATATGCAATACAGGAATTTCCACAAATCTTCACAGCTGAATTGCTGAATATTTTCACAGCATTACCAACGGACCTAGAATCGCGGTGACAAGTGGTAACATTTTTTGGTAATAAAATTTTCCGGTCACATAATCTTCGGTAACGTGCAGAATAGACCTGTAGGGGCATATTTATGTTTAGATATAGAATGTGCTACATAAAAATAGTAAATTAGTCTAATATTATTTATATCATACCTTAAAAATTCATCAACTCGGGTTTGTATTAAAAAGAAAACCAATTCTATATTGTTTTTCTTTTTTTAGTTTAGATACTGCAAAAGGCGTACTATATTATTTTGGAATTAAAAACGTAGCAGATCGTAGGTAAAGCGGAGTAGCGTAGTAAATTTAAAATTTGCTCTAAAACCGTAGTAAATCTACTACGATCGTAGTGAAGTTCTAAGCCTGGTGCTGAATGTACGGCCTTATTAGCAGAAAAAACTGCATGGAATTTATTCAGAACAAATTCAGCAGTAGATCGTATTGCTAGCTCGAGCAGTTTTTGTATTTCATCTAAAACGAGAAAGATTTCCCCGACCGGATTGCCTAAGAAGTGACATTATATTCTTTTCTATTGAAATATCTTTTAAAGCAAACCTGATTTTTTAAGGCTGTCGAATTTTTTTTTTATCCGCTAAAAACTCAAAATTGCAATATGCATAAGTTGATTTTTGACGCATCGTTCAGCGAGGTCTTCAAAAATTCTACGCATGCAGTATCGTCTTCCATATCATCGATAAAATTTTTTATTGAGCAAAAATTCTTTGCGTAATATACAGCTGCATCAAGCCATGTTCGCCAGCGAGTCAGCACCTGCTTAGAAATAAAATAATCTTGTATTTAATGAAAGATGTGGTAACTTTTGCTTAAAAAATGCGATACGGGATGCACTTTTCAAGAAAACCGTTTTCAGATTTGAGATTAATGCATCTACATTTGGATGTGGGGCTCTTATAGATTCGCGCACCCTGTGCACACCATGAGCAATGCGAGTTATATGGATCATGCTGGAGTAAAGCACGGCTAACGAAGATCCACATTTCTTCATATATGGCGCCGCATCAGTTACAAAAAGTAACACCTTTTTGCGCTAAACTCCATCTGGCCATAAATGACGCAGCGAATCATCAAATAAAGTTGCAACAGCAGATGCGCTTACGTGTTCCAAGAATTCTACGGTCAAATGATAACCACGTCAGTTTTCTACCAAAAGCCCATCAATGACATTGGCGACATGACGGCCAGCTTTCGCAGTCGTTTCATCAATCGAGACAAAAATGTGATTTTCCCCAATTTCACTTCTGATTTTTCCAAGCACTT